TACTCACAGTATTGTGTACTTGTACTGTTAGAAAGGAACCAGTGAATTCTCACAGTATTGTGTACTTGTACTGTTAGAGAGTAACCAGTGAATACTCACAGTATTGTGTACTTGTACTGTTAGAAAGGAACCAGTGATTACTAGCTAATCAATAATCATTGAATATGAAGTATTGAACCAATCACCTGATTAGACATCAGAACCATCCTGAGGCTCTGATTGGTGCTTCAATAAGGAGATCAACTCACCTGATAGATGATCGATCAGCTCACGCGTGGACGATCGGGACTCTCACGCGCTGATGATGTCATCGCTCGCTTCCCCGGTGTCGCAGGCCACGCGCCGGTTCTGATCCACCGCGGCGGACATCGGAGTCGATCGATCCTGGTATCGATTGATCGGTATCGATCAGCGGCAGAGAGGTGCAGCGGGGGTTCGGTGTCCTGGAGCCGGACGAGGGTTCTGGTCCGTCGGTCGGTGGGTTTGAGCTCCGCGAGTCCTGGTGTGTTTTTGCAGGTGACCGTTACCTAGAGACAAGGAGAGAGGAAACACCGAGAAGAGGTCTCACTCTGTGTGGTTTACTGGGACCAAGGAGTGAGGAGTTACCGGGAAGAGGTCTCACTCTGTCCGGTTTACCGGGACCAATGAGAGAGGAGATACCGAGGAGAGGTCTCACTCTGTGTGGTTTACCGGGACCAAGGAGAGAGGAGAGAGGAGACACAGAAGAGACCAAGGAGAGAGGAGTTTTATTATATTATAATTATACAAAATATATATTCTTATATTTGTATAAAAGTTTTGAATAATTTTGAAGCAATAAGTTGTCGTTTAAACGGACATAAAAATATTAGATTTAATAAATAGAATAATAAATAATAACACAATAAATGTGTTTTTGTTTGTTTGATATTTATTAAGAAATATAAGCTAAAAATATGTCTGTGGTGACCAAAGCCATCATTTATGAATCATTATTTAATGAACTAACATAAAGTTAATCCATCCATCCATCCATCCATCTCCTCTTATCCGGGGTCGGGTCACGGTGGCAGCAGGCCCAGCAGGCTGACCCAGACCTCCCTCTCACCGGCAACATGTTCCAGCTCATTCTGGGGGATCCCGAGGCGTTCCCAGGCCAGATGGGAGATGTAATCTCTCCAGCGTGTTCTGGGTCTTCCCCGGGGTGTCTTCCCAGTTGGACGTGCCTGGAAAACCTCCAGTGGGAGGCGTCCAGGAGGCATCCTAATTAGATGCTGAACCACCTCAGTTGACTCCTTTCGACGCGAAGGAGTAGCGGCTCGACTCCAAGCTCCCTCCTGATGACGAGCTCCTTACCCTATCTCTAAGGCTGAGCCCGGCCACCCTACGGAGGAAACTCATTTTGGCCGCTTGTAGCCGCGACCTTGTCCTTTCGGTCACGACCCAGAGTTCGTGACCATAGGTGAGGGTAGGAACGTAGACCGACTGGTAAATTGAGAGCTTTGCCTTCCGGCTCAGCTCCCTCTTCACCAAGACGGTCTGGTGCCGCGCCTGCTTTACTGCTGCAGCCGCACCGATCCGCCTGTCGATCTCCCGCTCCATCTTACCCTCACTCGTGAACAAGACCCCGAGATACTTGAACTCCTTTGCTTGAGGCAGGCACTCCGTCCCCACCTGGAGGGAGCAATCCACCGGTTTCCGGCAGAACCAGATCTCATCTAGGGCTGGGCGGTATACCAGTTGAACCGGTTGAACCGGTATACCGGTTTTAATTTCCCGTTTGATATGAATTTTTCATATACCGAACACAGCCGAAACAACTTCTGTCGCTCTTCAACAGGCAGCAAAATATATTGTTCGCCGCTATGAGCGCTACGGTCAGAGCTAGTTGTCTTAAGTGTGAACAGAGCAGAGCAGAGCAGAACAGAGCAGAACACAACAGAACAGATCAGAACACAACAGAACACAACAGAGCAGAACAGAACACAACA